CAATCCCTCCGTTCCTCATGTCCCTTCCAGAGTCTCATTGGAAATCCTACATCCTGATGGAAATCATTACTCCCCCACCTGTCCACAACATGATTTTGAGAAACGGTGTTATTGAAAAGGGTGGTGTGATCTGTGAACTCGGTATATACGGAACATGTCTATGGGATCAAACAACTTCGCAAATCTTGCATAACGAGGAAGCAGGATACCTTCTCCGAACAAAAGGTGATAAGAGTGAAGAGGGTGGTGTGGCTGCTGGTTTTGGGTCTATGGATAGTGTGGCTCTTGTTTAGTATCTATCCTCAATACAGCAAAGTTTTAGAATTGAGAGAGACTAGATACGGCGACCGGAATATACGGTCCAGACATTTCTTCAGCCACATCTCAATCAGATCTATTCTCAATCCAGCAAAGGCTTTGAGGCTCTAGGCAAAGACTAGATACGTTGACCTAAACAAACCTAGCATGTCCCACCCATAGCTTCAGCCACAATTCATTCAGGAGTTTCTTCGGCAAACTCATTAAGCAGCCGTTTAAATTAGACCGGAATCTTATATGGCGTGTTAAAATTATTCTTCATTCGAACATGTTTCTCGCGCTTAATAGGAGCACATCAATCCAATTAGTAATCCAGGGAAATTTAGCAGCCGCATTCCCGGTAAAAACTTATGAACTCGCTTAGAACGACATGCCTCCTTTTATACCATCACCATTGTTGTCGTTATACATTTTTATCATCCTTTACATTTCATTTCACAGTTTTTATTTATCTTCCTTTTTCCTTCTACTGTATATGTATGAAGGAATTCCGCAGGCTTCATGTGTGCTATGTTCTTTTCGTGAACCTTATCAAAGTAAATGTTTATGGGCGTTCAGAAAACTAGCTTTCAAGCTTGGGGCCACACGATTCCAATTCCCGGTACAGGAACATGTTTCAGGTCCCGTTACATGCATTCCAGAGATCAATATACTTAAGGATGTACCGGAAAAGTGAGCCACACGAAGGTAGACATAAATTTTTGAATCGCCATGAATTCATGCCGAGACTTCAACGGGTTGAGATGACTCGGGTCTCCATTTTTGAGAGTTTTGAGGATAGGCAGTTGATTGTTTTTGAGATGGCGAATAAAAAATATAGAAAATGGTAAATATCGTGAACATGTTTGACGTCTGTATCTTCATCAGGGATTTTGTTGGCGTTCTTATTTTCATGTCGGAGTTTGCGTCTAGTAAAGTAAGATGGTCAAATCCCTCAAGTCAAAGGCAAATAAAGTAGTTGCTTTGTTTTCCGAATACAAATTGATACTCAGTGGTTCCAAAAGAACGCTCTGGACTGAATGAGTCTATGACATGAAAAGTAAATTAGCAAATGGGTCAGCTACATTAGAAAATAAAGCAGTTGCTCTATTTTCAGTGCGAATTAGAGTTCGATAAAATCTTCAAACTAGACAAAGAGATGACCAACGATATAAATGTAAGCACGAAAATTCTTAGGAAACTTCTGAAATTAGATCTAGCTTGCTCTTGTGAATAATCCGGGACTAAGGGTCGGAAATAGAGAAGTGTCTATTCATTAATGTTGAACTTAGAGAAGCTTGATATTGGGCGAGGACAGCTTCCATGCGTTTGATTTACCCCGCATCGTAGACGGTCGTATTATTTGCATTCGAACGGTCAAAAATTGAAGGTGAATGACCGATGGTTTAGTTGATCGCAAATCAACCCGAAATTCGGAGAATCTTTGGCCGTCGGTACTGGTGATTACAAATGTTCTCCTTCGATTGTGATTACTAGATATTACCATGCAGCGGGTTCATGAGCCTGTATGTCAAAACATACTCGCTGCTAAAATCTCGCATGGAGATCTCATTTAGTCACTCTAGTCAAAGAATTAATTAGCTAGTTGAATGAGTCACATTCTCTGCGTTCAAGATACTAGGCCAGAAGGTTACAAGTCTCAAATCAACAAGGAGCTCGATCAAATATACCTGTAATCAGACTTGTTGACGATATTATCTTTTGGCCCAGAACCCTAAATGTTCTTGGCAGGAGTCAAACTTAAGAACTAACAAGAAACTACAAAACATCATAGGGAAGTAACGATCATAAGCATATGGTATGCAAATTCCGGCAATCGTACCTGTCAATTGAACAGATGTTCACTGTAACCTTATCATATCCCACCGTTTTCCTAATACCTTTCTTTACTGGCTTTTAATTTCGAGTTTTCTTTGCATACGATCTTGCACGTCTAGCATCTCAGGAGCTTTCTACACTACGACCGTACCTCTTTCGGGTCGCCAATTCATTCCCTTACAGCAGCCTCCCCGGATGGTTTTTCATTTGAGCTTCAATCCTTTTGTCCCACATATCATTCCTCTCGGAATAGTGTTCCGCCATTGTTCTTGATTCTCCAGCACGCCCGCTGCAAATCCTCCATGCCTTTCAACATACAACTTCCGAATGCGACTCAAGTTTTCTCGTCCTTACAAAATTTGTCGAATGTCTCCCCTTCGCCCGCCACATCGCCCTCTCTGCGACACTTTCACTCACACTTTCCGCGATCCCCCATACACTCTTCGAACTTGGCATAGCGGATGAAACGATTATCTCGCGTTCTTGGACCTCATCGCTCACATATCGCCATGGGATTGGCAATTGAGTAATACAGTCATACGAAATTAATTAAACGTTTCATCTCGCATTTCATCTACATTCTCATACACCTGCGGCATTGTTATATAGGGTAGAGCAGCAGAAAATATCATGATCTTTTTTATCTGCTGTGTGTCCGAGGTACTGATATAATTAAACCCACAAGGATACTGGAAGATGTGTCTATTGAGGGTAAAGATACCCCGGTGTCATCATGATAACAGCCAGCCATAGTAACAGAGTAGGGATTTTGTAAAATTCGACTCGATCAATCCTCTTGAATGTGAATAAATCTTTGAATAAGTAGATTTCCGTCAGTCAATTCTCTTCAAGTTTCATACCATACCGGATTCATGTAGCTTTATTTTGTCTAAACACATTTTACTTGATTTCATTTGATATTGTATGTGCAGTAGTTCATTCTTCGTCGGCATGTTTCAAAAGCGCCGTTCATCATGCATCATTACCTACAGAATTATTTTCTCAAGTCAATATGGGGTAGGTATTTGATATCTTGGTCAACAAGCACATCAACACGAATTCTTGGTCGTCAACATCTGGGAAAAATCAAGCACCTCACACAGAATAGAGTTCACCGTTATCTATTCAATGCAATAAGCAAACTATCTCCGCCTATTCTTCTTCAAGAAGATCTTCATAGCTTTTCACTTCCCATTCCGCTCGCCTTTTCAGTATAGAAATACACAAACTATTTGTAAAATGATGGGATTTAGGCCTTTGGATATGCTTTGCCCGATCTGCAAGCCGGAGTGTACGGCAAGCGCTTTTTCTTGACTCTCCAGATGATAACGCAATTTCAGTCTGAATCCTAGTTCCTTGGTTTGATATGTGAAATTAGATCATGAATTGGAGTAAATCGGGTTTCTTCGATTCAGGTGATGGATGACTTACATGGTTAGCGCAAAGTTTCCATTTGAATTAATTTTGTAATCGCGCTTTCCCATTTCAATGCTGACATAGAGTTTATTGTTTTCATGTGGGTGATCTAGAGTGAAGAGTTTTCAAACTCGATTTCACGATTTCACGACGAGGGAAGAATCTGATGGGTCGGTTCATGGGTATCGTCTGAATTCCTGCTTTCGGCAGAATGAGATTTGTAAATTTCGATATGATTTATGTACATGGTCATCCAGTGATGTTCAGTGACTCTTGTTGATGTAGTGAGATCGAGGAATTTGTCGAGAAGGAATTTGATTTAGTGGTGTCCGCTAGCATGTTGATTAGATGATTCTAGCTTCTAAAACCTTGCCCGACAGCAGCCCGGTTCAGCTTGAGGGGTATTCTGAATCAAAAGATGGGCATTATCAATTAATCATAGTATGAACGAATTTTGATCCATGATTTGTATCCGTCCAAGATATCAGCTTTGGAACTAAGCGATGGTGATATTCTTAGGCACGCACGCTAAGCGAGTCAACGTTCCTGAACTTGACCATATTCGTAACATATGCTCTGAGGACCGTATAGGTATCCATTTTGATGGTATTGACATGTGGAAAAGATAGCAACATTATTCGGAATTTTCTCATCAAATTGATACCCAACACCATACGGAACACTGAAGTAGATCACTCGACAGAGCAAGCTCTCAGGAGGTTATCGGAAGACACATGTTTCATTACTAATGAAAACTACATAGCTCTAAAGACCGGTGCCGCGCTTGTTGTTGTTCGCTGTTGCCAGAGTTCGCGCTTGCGCTTTTTGGAAGTTGACGTTAAGTTTCGTCAACACTTGCCTCTTTCAATCTGGGGTACCAAGCTTTGATTGAATGGTCTCAAAATTTGACTTCGAATAATTTCAACACTAGATTAGCATCTAATCATCTGATTCCTAGAACCAGAAAGAAGTGAAAGTAACTCAGCTCGAAAGCACCTGTCCCAAAATCTCGACGAGCTCTGAAGATACTGTCTGAAAGGCAAGATGACTGTGTTAGGATTTTCCGGTCATGTAGATATACAACACTTCATACATCCATCGTATAATGCTCACAATGCTATAGGTTTACCGCTGAACGATTATCTATCATACTGGATTATTAGGTTTGGCTAAATCAAGTTGGCATCAATGGACCAAAGTAAGTCTGAATGACACCTTGGCTGATGAAATTTCCAAGCCATTAACTTGTTGATCTAGTTACCACTAGACTTGTAGCCAGTCTGAATGCAAATTCGAAGTGTCCTAAAATCAAAGTATAAGTACTTCTTTCAGACCCCAGTAATTTCAAATTCGAATTCGAGCAACTGAGATTCATCACATTCGTAACATATCCTACAATCATCTTGAGGTAAATCACAACTATTTACAACATCTTCACTCAATTCACAATGCCATTTAACTTACCTGGAATCGACGCTGCTGACCTTCGTCATTATATCAACCTCGGTTAGTATTCAATTGACCCTGTCAACCCCCTCGCCCCCCTTTGATCACATCTTCATCTCAGTTTTATCAGCCGAAACTTCATACTGCTCCTATTTGTATTGTTTTATTTGCTGATAATCGTACCAGGTCTGCCAACCGAGAACCCTGTCCCCGTCTTCCCCGCTATCTCTACCTCCCATCTCCCCGCTGCCGCTGCCTCTCCTCTTCCCGCTGCCGATGCCCCTCTCCCCGCTCTCCCTCTCCCCGCTCTCCCTCTCCCAGCTGGTAGTAATGCCCCGGCTGTAGTTGCTGCTCCTGTCGAAGAGCAACCGGTCCCTTCGTGGCCAGGCAACCCCAAGGTCATAACTGGTGGCCACCAACCTCTGAGTAAGAACCTCCTTGCCTGTTATCTCTCCTCATTTGGGACAATCAAAAGCTAACCTTTTTATAAGCTGTCTGGCCGAGTACCAGCAACAAAGACTCCTCCCTGAACTACGTGCAGGGCAAGTACGAACTTGTTCCTGGAGGGGACGATGTTGTGGGTTCCCACGCTTGGCTGCTGAGGGGCCATCCAGGAGCTCGTGAGGGGTCCACTGCCCGGTTTTTGGTTAGTTTGTTGGGGCGGAACGGCTGGACCAACAACCGGGTCATTGTTGACGCATATACAAGAATGTATGAACCGTGCGTCAAAAGGTTTACCGGTGTGGTGGGAAGCGCCGAGTATGTGGATCAGTGGAAGAAGGCGGAGAGTCTTATCCGCCAGACAATGTCCAAGATTCAATACAATGACTTGTTCATCAAGAAGGATGATGCAAGCATTGTTGGGGATGAGGTGAATGAGGGTGAGTGTCTCTGGCGTCTTAGACAGCCTGAGGACCCCCCTAAGCCAGACCCCAAGAAGGGCAAGAGGGGCCCTAGACCGCGTGGAGATGGCGACGGGGATGGTCCCGCTGGTGACCCAAATTCCGCTCACAAAAAGCGCGATGGTGGCCCAGAAGACCAACCCGCCGCCAAGAAGCGTAAGGGCGCCTTAACTGGCGGATAAGAAGGGCGGCGCCGGGAAAAACAACGGTGCCAAACTTCCTAGCCTGGTTGTTCATGACATCTTTGAACAATCTAGTATTGATGATGGGCTCCCAGCTGGATCGGTGTCGTGATTTCTGGAGCAGCTTGTAGAATTGTTGACATCATGACATTGAGCTACGACTTCTTTCTTTCTTTCCTTGGTGGGTTCGATTCCCACCGTTTTTTGATGTTATTATTTGGGATTGAATGGGATGAAGTCAACAGTGGCTCTTGGTTCATGGTCGACGCTCTACATTCTTCGGCACGATCATAGCAGCTTGGGGGGTTTTTTGTGCGCCTGCTTCCTGTGTCTTCAACTGGTATGATCTTTTCCCCTCGGATTAGAGACAAACGCAGAGCCTCACTATAGGGAGCTCTAACTCTGAGGTGTCCGTTCTTCTAATCTTGGTGCTGAGAAAAGATGTCATATGATGGCAATCAGAGTGTTAGACACAGCGCGTTGTTTCATTTCCTTGCTTGTCTGTTTGTTTGTCTGTTTGTTTGTTTGTTTGTTTCTTCTTCTTGGATAGTGCTAGCCTCTGAACATGGTTTTTGCTCTTTCTAGATTAGAAGGAGAGTTTCCCATGTTATTTACACAAATGTGAGAGGATAGCACAACGGGAAACATTAGCGATTGCATATTTCAGTAATTTATAATCATCCAAATTGAAACCAAATCAAATGTGCAGTGAAGTGAAGAAAATGAATTCATGATTGGAGATGGTAGTTCATTTGTGATACCTTTATTGAGAAAGATGCCTTGACTGGTAATGTTCTCTTCGACATCTTCCCCTACATACTGCCTTGGAAGTATGGTACCATTCGCGCCGCCCAAATTCGATATTACATACACACACCAATCGAAAAGTAAGTCTTGTTACATCTCATCATCCATTCCATCTTTCATAGAATTCATGTAATCATGTCCATTTGATCTATGCGCTTCCATCTTGGGGCTTCTTGTATTGGAGGACGTCGATTTTCTCTGTTTGATCTGGGTTAGCTTCTGCTTTGGTAAGGATTAATGGTATTTTAGAGGGAGTACTTACGTTGAACTGCGCTCATAGAACTTCTGTTCTTCCCATCGGCATCTTGGTAGTTGTTCATTTGTGCCTCAGCTTCTACATATACCAAAGTTCTAAACGCACATCAGCATTGGAACTTTGGGATATCCTTCTTTCTTTTGGATTTCCGAGCTCAATATCTGCCTCTGCCAATATTCACACATGAGATATACCCCCACTGAAGAGTTTCTTCCTAGGTAATTTTCTCTCCAAATATCAAGAGATCAAAAGAACTTACCCTTTCTCCAAATTCGAAATGAAATCTCTCTGTGGTCCCTCTGGCAAGAAGCTCACTACCCGAAACCAACTAGTCTTCTGATTCTCTCCTCTGCCAGTGTTAGTACCAACCGCATATTTCATAATTTCTTGTCCTTGGCTTGTAGCAGTTATTTCAGGCTTATCAGCGAGACGGCCAATGAGTGTGAGTTTGGCGAAGGAATTATTGCGAGCGCTGGTGGAGAAGTTGCGAGAGAGGGTAGATGGAATATTGCGGCGGAGAGCGAACATCTTGACGGTTCTGGAGGAGTGGACGATTTGTAGCTGGTTTGTGGAAAGAATGTGGAATTTTAATGAATGTGAAATGATTGATCTTGATTTTTTTCTTCTTATCGTGGTTTCTGTGTTTGGAGATTTTGCCTGAGGCAAAGATATCAATTATTCCACCCGTGCGTGCATTTACGAGCATTTCGAGGTTCACAAGAAGGGCCATACCATTGGGATTTCTATCAACCGAGACAACTGGAGACAACTGAGGACAAAAACCTGGGGAAGAATTAGCTTTCATTCTTTATCTTTAAGATCATTGCAGTTACCAGGTATTGAGGTATAAATTTCGATTGAAAGCACAGCATTGAAGATATAAAGAGCCAAGCAGCAAGCGACGAGCAACGAGCGACGAGCAGCATTAATTCCATTGGGATTCGTTGTGTTAAGATTGAGGAAACTTCATCACTTGTTGACCAGGGCAGAATTCCGACCGATAACACAGCATTGAAAATAAAGCAACATCGAATTTATTGGTAATCCTTGCGTGATATGATACTTGGGAAGAAACTACTTTCGCCGTTGAATCCTTTGAGAGATCACTTAACCCAACTTATTAGGCATTCCGATTGATAGACAACAACACAACATTCAAAATGAAGTAGGATTGATATCATTGGGAATGATGCGTCTTTACATTTACGCAGTTGAACGTACGCCATTCTTTATTGACACCTGAACCAGGATTTCTTTGAACGCAGCGTCGCAGGAAGAGATATCTTGACATCTCGATATCTTGGATTTGATCGGCGACCTTCAAAAGATTCCAAGATTCCAAGATTCCACTCGTTTTGGTTTCCTTGCGATGTCTTACTTCCGCTATGGTCACTCAATCGTCTTCAATGCTCGAACACGAAAGGTTCAAGATCATGCCAGCAGATCCCCAAATAAATATAACGTCCTGTCATCACGGATACGAGCATCATATGTGCATCTCTTTATCCAAGAGATTTTCAGTTCAACCATCTCTTTTAATGCCTTATATGCTGGTCTCAGCTACCACAGACACAAACCTTATCTACCCGAGACGGTGTTACTTATGATGTCCTGTGTCATCACCATCATCTTGGTTGGAGAATTTCTAGATGGTCGTTCTTGTATCACTTGTTGATGTACTCCAGACTTTTTAATCTGCAGAAAATGAAATCGTGGTATGGATTGCATGCTTCATCAGAATCACTTCGCATGAAGGATTACAGCTCTTCACCAATGGCCTCCCGCTCCCCATCCATCCCCCCACACCACAAAACATTGTAAGTCTTTGTATCACAGGTTCGTTCGAATGGACTTTCTTTTGAATTTGGTTCAGACTGGATCTTTTACCTGTTCAAGAAGTGCTGCATATTACATTGTATGCATCGAAGTAATTATTGGCATGAAACGGAGACCTTTTTCCAAAAGTATGATAGGTCGGATGAACACCGGAAAGCTAACAGTGTGCGAGCGGGAGACGAACGGAGTGAACCGAAAAGGACCGGAAAATGAAGGGGGAAGGTCTAAAAGACACTCTCGTACCTGAAGCTAATCCTTATGGGGAATTGATTCCTTGAAAATATCGAAACAACTCCCGTATGATTACTACACCACCTACCTAGCATCTAATTCTTCACCCTAACATTACCATCTGCTGATTGTGCTTAGGTTCCTTAGTTCTGTGTACTCTGTACTTTCGAAACTCATTCCTGGCATACGAAAGGTACCTAGGTACCTATTTAATGCTGGTCAAGCAATATGTACCATCAAGCAAACATCGTTAAGCAATATATAATGTCCAAGCAATATGTACCGGTTATGCAATGCACAGCTTATTTTGTATCTTCTTCATTGGGAAAAAAAGAAATCATTCAATTATATGGTTAGTTATGATCGAACAAGACAATGAGAAAAAAGCAAGAAGTTGAAGAAAAGAAAATAGGTGAGAGAGACGGGAGGTCAAGATCATTAAAAAGAAAGATCGAAGGAAAAGAAAAAGAAAGTTGACAATCAATTGATTTACTATAAGTCAGCCTCAGTATGGTCAATGCTAACTATAGTACTCAGACTGATCGGTAGATCTCCCCACAGCTCCATTTTTGATAGTAACCTAATCTCGCTACAATGAGTCTAATACGGGTTCTCAATCTACTTCAGGTCACAATTTCTTGATTAGATTCAATGGGATCATTGAGCAATTGGATCATTGAAACCTCGACTAGACAAATCAAATCCATCAGAAACTTCAGACAGATCTGACAGACACAGCAAGCAAATGAACTCCCATTATTTTGGGCCGATATCCAAGCTTTTTTCTCCGATTCACCGAGTGTTGTCTCTCGAACACATCAATTCATTTCCCTCCATAAAATTTGGGTGTGGCTTTGACGTTGAGAAGAGAAAAAAAGTAAGGTATACATACTTTCGTGGCACTGCATCGCATTGTTTGTAATCCCTACACTCCCAATTATTTACTTTCATGCATCATATTTTTCGTATTGCAGACGCCTTCCTGCAAGTGCAGGATGTTAACTTTAAAGGCGGGGGTTATATCAAGCTGCAGGATAAATGTATCCGTCAATGGGTCTGCTTTAAACCAACACCCAAGAAGAGTCTACCTTGCAGTAGATCACCGCGGACCGCGGACCGTCGAGAGTTCCATGTCGAATCGTTCATCGCAGGCACATTGATTTCGAAGAACACATAAGAACCAACAATGCACAAACCCACCCACTTTGTACCAGACGATTCATCATCGGATAGCGTAATTTCTCATAAACGCCTTCGCGCCTACACTTAGTATCTCCGTCAAAGTTAAGTATCTTTACCTGCCACATTTTTATCGGGTCTTGACATGACTTCATATAATATACCTCCTCATATCTTATCTGTATTCAGATGAACCATCAAGGCTATTGGCACACTACCTCACGCCTTGTTTTAAACATTCGTTACACCCCCCCTTTCCTTGTTCTATAATCGTTACTCTTCTTCTTCCAATTCACAATATCCGTGTTTCATTTCCATGCTACCCATGTAATTTTCGAAGCCATACACACTACACGTCTATACATTGAGGGGAGTTTTGGCAATAGTTTCCCGTCCCACCAGGACTACTTTTCTTTATCTCATGATCTAGTACTAGATATCCGGGACTAGTTCTAAGAGTTTACACAATGCAGATCAAAGGGTCCGTGTTGCTGGTATTGGGGGCTTCGATTCAATGGGTTTTCGCTGCACCATGGAATGTGCGGGTCCAGGAACGCGACAACTCGGTAGCTCTATCTTCGAAGATCACTTCTACCTCATCGTCGATCTCCAGTAGTGCGAAAGAGCCGCAAGAAAGCAATGATAGCTTCACATCCGCTTCAACCATCACACACTCGCAAAGTACTTCTTTGACATCGACTACATCAACTTCGAATACAGCAATGTTGACTTCGACCGCCTCAGCATCCTCGATTAGTGCAACAGCTACAAGTATATCCGCTACAGATTCAGCTTTCAATTGTATGAATCGCCTGCCCTCATTGAACTTTGACAAGATGCTGACATTGAAGCAGCTACAATATCATCCGGCGAGTTGCCTCTCCAACCCGAGATCACACCAGCCTTTGCTATTGCAGGAATTATTCTCATCGCCACTGGCATAATATATACTTTTATTGGCATCAAGAACAGATGGCTACATATTTCACTTTCAGTAGGATACCTTGTTAGCATTGCAATCACGGTCCTGATTCTTTTTGTAATGAATCTTCCAGTGAGCAATGCGGTGGAGGGAGCATATCTCGTTGCAATTGTGCTACCTGGGCTCATCATCGGGGGGTGCTCTTTGATATTTACAGAGGTGACCGAGGGCCTTGGATGTCTTTTGGGGGGTTTTTGCTTCAGCATGTGGCTGCTTGTAATGAAAGCTGGCGGACTGATCACTTCGACAGCCGGGAAATCGATTTTGATTGCAGCCATCAGTATTGCTGCTTTCTCACTATCTTTCAGTCACCATACTAGGACTTATGGATTGGTTGCATGCATATCATTCGCGGGTTCCACAGCGATCGTTCTCGGAATTGATTGTTTTAGCAGAGCTGGCCTAAAAGAATTTTGGGCTTACATTTGGAACTTGAATCAGAACCTATTTCCACTGGGCGCGACTACATACCCCGTGACGAAAGGAATTCGTGTCGAGATTGCCGCAATTTTCGTCATCTTCTTAGCTGGTTTAGTGTCACAATCAAAGGTCCACAAGATGATCCAAGATCACCGTGCGCAAAAATTAGAAGAGCGCCAAGAAATCGCAAGGGTCTTAGAAGAGGAGGAAATGAGTGTAGGAAGAAGAGTTGAGGATCAAAATATCGCAGAAAAAGAAAGATGGGAAAAAGTATACGGCGAGAAGGTTAAATCGGGAGATGAATCAACACATGATTCTGTAGCGGGTGATTTGGAAGATTCCAAACGAAGGCACTCTAGCACGATTACTTCTATTATGGAACTCGATGGAACAGAGGTTGAAATTTCTGAAAAATATTTACCTACTCGATCCAATGTTACTGGTCTTGTTACGTTCAGTGGAAAAGGGCACGATGGAGCGGTTACAGTTCGCGTTGCTCGAGATGCGACACCCGACTCTGAGCGAACCGAAGATAAAGTTGTTATCCCATCGCGCCAGTCGAGTCAAAAATCGGGCAGATCTCAACTATCAGCAAACATAACTGAAGGTAAAGCTGTGGTTGTTGATAATGAAAGTACCCACCTAGCAAATCTACCTTCACTACGCCCTACAAGTAAAGCCCCACCACCACCAATGACAGTCGCACCAGAAGTAGTGCCTCTTCCATTCAAGATTCCCGAAGATGAGATGCAGGATAATCAATCTTCGATTGCTTCTATTCCTGATGAAGAGCTAGCGGTCAACGGCACAACTTTAAAACGTACATCCAGTGGATCGAAAAGAGATTCACAAAGGTATTCGGAAGAGCAAGGTATCAGCACAGACGATTCGACGACTCCTTATGCCGATGAGACTGATCGCGCAAGTTCTATTGCGGCAACTGTGGATGATCTCAGCGATGATGAAGACAGGGATATAGAAAGTATACGATCATCAGTTATTAGCCAGGGCACTCCTTTACCGGATGTGGACTTCCCAGCACAGGGTGATCAAAATGAAGAGCAAGGTCCAGAGCTGGTGACTGTGAAAGTGACGACTGAATCAGAAGAAACTGCATCCGGACATATTCCTTTGTCCCCAATGGATTCTACGACTGAAGATGCAGATAATAAGGTGGCTAGTGGAACGTCTGATGTCCAGCAGAGTTCGGAGCTTCGGCCAGAGTCGGGAATTACTGTTGCCACTAATATTCTCAACACCCCCCGAAATGAAATATCACCGAATGAGTCAATGCCACAACAAGACTCTCTAACAACATGTGGGGACCCAGTACCGAACACGTCAAATTCCACTGTTGGGGAAAGTCTTGAAGATGCTGACAATGGAACTGAATCAAAACTCAAGACAGAGTCATCCATGACATCGGCGCCTGACACAAAGACTACGAAAATCACGAAGGATCAATTGCCTGCCAAGTTTTCGAAAGTTGTCATGTCATATCGTACCAATGAGTGGGCCAAACATTTAAGCCATGCAGACTCACCGGAATTGGAAGAATTGGATATTTCCGAGAGTACTTCTGAGGATCTCGAATCAGAATCGGCTGTTCCCGTGGATGTTGAAGCACTTCAACAAACAGCTCATAACGCTCTTCCACCACCAGCGATACGATCATCTTCTCAGCAATCAATCTCTCCAGGTCTTATCCGGTCAAGCTCAACCCAATCAAATATGACGCCTTTCGCGACGATACCCGAGGGTTCTACCATTCATGGACAGGATTCGTCGACACGAAACTCCTCGCAACAACCATTAGGAGGATATGAAGTTCAACGATCATTCCGCAATGCTTCAAACCCAAGCATTCCAGAGCAAATAGTTGAATCACCTGGAGAAGAAATTCAATCTTCCCAACAACATTTTTCGCAATCGATGTCCCCTGCATTCGGAAATTCTAATACACTAATGAAAAAACGAGACACGATGCTCCGCAATAGATCATCTTATTTCCCAACGAGAAACTTTTCTACACATTCCATGCCGATACTTGAGCCAAACCCACAATCTCCATCACGATTTCAATCTGCGTCGCATTCTCAAATGGGTAGCGAAACCGGTTCAATTCATAGCCCTCTACGGTCTTATCACGTCAACAAATCAACCCCAATCCTTCCCGAACACGATGACATACCACTTTCTCAGCGTCGCGAACTTATTCGTCGATCTACGACTCAACCTCTAGCTGCCCCTAATACAAATCTCAATTCTCATCAACCGAAGCGCACATCGGCTATTCAAACACCCCTGGTTAGAGAACAACAATTGGCGATGTGGAGAAACAGTATTGCAAATGATTTGCAAGTGCAGAAGAAGAGAGAAATGGATACAGTGGATAATAGGAGGAGTGTACTTTGGCAGGAGAGAAGAACAGTGGAAATGAGAAAAGAAGGGGAGAGGAGGGCAAGGGAATTGAGGGAAGAGAGATGGGAGGGGAAAATTAGGACAGCTGGTGGGGAGATGGAAGAGTTGCATAGAAAAATGATGAGTCGAATGCAAGATGAGGCGAGGAAGGTGCTTTGATTTGGAAATCAAGGGTGGCGAGGGACAAAATATAGTACTGAGAGTGAAGGGTAATTCTTAATGGTTTAAGTTTTGGATGGATGAGAAGGAACTAGACGTCTAGAATTGCTGGACACCACGGATGAGATAAAGTTCTTGTATATATGTATATCTACAGTTTGGGGAGATAATCTGATAGTCAAATTGGGAATGGGGTTGGATTAAAACACGATACATTAGTTGCGAAGCAGGACAACATGTATTGTCAAATATAACGGGATCAACGATACTGGACATACGGACTTACTGATGAAGTGCTTTAGGAGAACGCCCTATGGATGGAAATGACACTGGCACTGGTAGGAAAAGGAGAAGATTCATCATATATAGTTTTTACCACATAGTTGGATATACTATTCTGGTGATCAATCTTGGGCGAGAGATAGCTAGGAGCCGAAAGGCATAGCCAGACTCGTTGATAATGGAAGATTAATTATCTACTACACTACATCCTAACTTATGAATCTTAATTTTTCCCATTTTCTTCCTCAACTCTGCTATTAACAAGTCGATCACTAGACTGAAATACAGAAATGTAAATCCAAATCCAACCCTTCTTCTCAAAGTCCCAACACTGAACAACGCACGCAGTAAACTAGAATACGGAGTAGGGAGTAGAAACATCGTACTTCGTACACGAAGTTCAAAAACAGATCATCATCCACCATTCTGCTGATCACTCAATTTGTAATTTGTTTCGGACCTGCATGCTTCGAATATTCTTCTGGAAGGAAATTGGATTGTGGTTACCAGCTAGAAGCATGCATAGGGTCCACTGATATTCATTTGGTGATCAATTTGGTGATCCTTGATGCTTGAGGGATGTCACATGTGTCATGTCTGAGAGCTATGAGGAAGGCATTGGGCAGAAAGTGGTGGGTGTACAATGGGATTTAGTGAAATAGGAGGAAAATTTAGTATGAACATATTGATTTTATTTGAATATTGGTTGGCAGTGTGTGGTGTATTATTTGAGGTTAGGAAGGTTACTGTGAGATACGTAGATGAGGAAATAATTTGCAATTACATGACCGGACATGCCCACTCTACCAAAAACGAGAGAGAGTGAATGAAGTCTTGTAACTTTCATCTGTCAATGGAGTCTTACAGTCCGTCAATCTAGTCTCACAAGCTGTCAATCGAGTCTCACATTTCGGACACACCGGAATAGTGGCTATGATAATTTATATCGCCATGCCACATATAACATGGATACAAACAGTATCAGGGATTTTTAGCATTTAACAAAAGTCCTTTCTTTTCAAGTTTAGATCAGATGAAAAACTTGAAGCCTCAGTAAGGCTTGCTATGATAAATATAGATGAGACTATTAAAGCATGAGGTGGTGGTCCCTTCAATTATCAACGTCATATGCTGGCATTATGCCCTCTAAATGTAATTTCGTATCTTGAGCTGGGGGCTGATGAGTGTAACGAGGCTGAAAGTATAATCGAACCTTTTAGGATTATTTTGACATGTAACTTAATTTTTTGGGAGAGAGATCTAGAATTTATTAGTAAAAAGCGCTAGCTGGAAGCTATCGATATGTAGGGTAAAACTCGGGAAGGACGAGCTAGCATTTCATTTCCGAGGGACTAGATTGGGTTGAATCTTGAAAGTTGGAAAAGGATTGAATTTGAGTCCAGTTCCAACGACGTACAATAGTATCGAACCAAGTAGAAACTCCGTATGAAGCAAGAGAATAATTCATACCAATCATATTGTCAGTGATGGCATACCTGGAGGACATCAGTGGTAACATCCCATATATAGATCTGGGCCCTGTACGCTCAGACGTTTGGAAACATCGACACTCAAATTCACTAATTAATGATAAGTTGGCATAAAAATTTAGATGAAGGAATTATTCTCAGGGCTTCATTTGGATGGCTAATCAATATCAATATTTGAAAATCCTTGAGGGTTGAAATGTGAAGTCCTTTTTTTTTCTTCAAGGAGCTGAGCCATGGTGTAGTGTCGGCTGAGATGCTCCTTGGTGGTGCTATGGTTATGTAGCTACTAGCTGATTGCTTGCCCTTGCTTCGAGAACCTTAGAGGTGAGGAGGTCGGTCAGTAGGGACTTAGGCAGATAGAGACGAATAATGAAGCGAACCATAAACGTTGGTACTAAATCAACAAATAGAAAGGGGAAATTCAATGTAACCGGGCTTTATGTCCCCAGAGTTTCAAGGTTGAAATATAAAGATGCTTTTAGCTGCCTGGGTATAGGACCCAGGGGCTTGAATGGGTTGAGGCAAGTAATCTTATTGAAAGACGTGCCTTGGGATGGGAATACTAGGTACACCAGGTGATAAGATATCGTTCTTTTGAACTCTGAACTTGGAACTCTGACATTCGCTTGGATCTACTTACTTACTTTCTACTTATCTTCACCGAGATATCTTGGACTTCAGTTATTTAGCCTGTGATTTCTGTACTACCGTACTCACTTCTATTCCCCCGACTTTTTTAAACATTTATATATCACTTCGTATACCTACCGAGCGACGAGTCTACTCCTCAGCTGTCTTGCTTTTCTCCCTTTACAAAGCATACCTATCATTCACATCAACCCAAATCTTCAAAACATTTTGAATCATATACGCACACGTATTTATCATACTTTCCGAAAGATATTCGAATCCAAGATCACAGTTAGACATGCACAATCGAAATGGAAAAGAAGAGATCTACTGAAATATCAGGCATTTCATCACACCTCACTCAACAAGCGAATCAAAAACTTCAATTCCTGCAGGACTCCTATCCGACTGCATCACATTGCATTAGCACGAATCCCCTTACAATTCCCCACGAAGAATCCTTTCAATTGAAGGGTAAATATTTCAAAATTCCGATATCTATTCGACTACGAAGTCGTCTAAATAAAAATCAATCATCAATAATCATAATTATTATAATAACAACAATTCGGAAAGAGGAAAGGGAAAAGCTTGAGGAGAAGCAGGAGAAGAGGAAGAAAAGAGACTTGCGCTTATCAAAAATAGCGGCCAATAATCCGGCCGCAAATTCCCAACGGCGTCACACACATCAATCCCACCGACCACCATATCTTCATCCACCATAGGAATTACCAATCGACCCAATGCCCCTCCATCAGCGATTGGAAACGCGAGAATTCCATCCCCAAGTCACCAACCTCCCTATCCATCACCAAGCCCTGTGCCAACCAATCGCGATCAACCACAAGTTCGAATAAGTAGTCCAACGAGGTATAGTTGGAGGAACGCTTTCCAAGGCGCTGCGAATCCTGGTACAACCGAAACTTTCCCAGATCCTTTTAGACCTCGTGCTGGTTCAAGAAGCACTTCAAGGGGGAGACCAAGAAGACCGAGTACATCTAGATTGTGGAATCCGACAAATTCAACCCCGAGAGCATATCCTCAGTCATCTCCAAAAAGACACCAATCACCGCCGGAAGAACGAACGGTTATTGCGATACCACTTCAACATCCAGATATATCAAATTTACGGGAGGGAGTCAGTGCAGGAGGCAATTATCCACTATTAACGTTACCGGAACAGCGACAACAAAAACATTCCGCATCTACGAGGGCAAGTTTACAGGTTGATAGGAGTGGAAGTTCATTAAGTTCGCATCGAATATCTTTACCAAGAACGGTTAGTATAGACCTTGCGCGAAATCGAAAAAGCGGTGATTCTCCTCTTACACCTACTGCCGGACCAAAACTTGACAAGGGCAAAGGAAAAGCGGTCGAAGAAGAGCCTGTTAAAATTGTTGCGACAACATTAGAGAAGCTTACTGGAAAGGCTCCAGAGGGAAGACAACTTACTCCGACACCTGTCTCGGGCATCTCTTTCGATTTCAGTAAAGCAGCTATGTCTACGGACCTCGAGCGCGGTCCTAATACCCTCAATTTATATAACCCATCTGGCACATCACCAATACCACATGCGAACGATTCAAACATATCATTACCAGGCGGTATCGGTTCCGCATTATCTTCAAATGGCACATCGATAGTTGGGGAGGAGCCAGGGGAGGGAGATGATGATGCTTGGGGTCCTCAACATCCATGTTTTCCACACATGAATATGCATGTTCCGCTCTCATCGCCTTTATACAATACAACACGCATAATACGTATTCGTCGTGATTGGATGTTGGAAGGAGATCTCGCGCCTACATTTTCAAATTTGTATCCAGAGATTTTGGATCCGGCTGGGGTCACGGAACAGGATTTTAGAGGCTTGATTGAGAGGATTAACAATGAATTGATACCAGCTTTTAATCCTTGGGGTGCGAGAAATATCTTTGATGGGTTGATGGGCTTGGTGACAGGTTGGGTATGGGATGATTTGGGTTGGACGGGTGTGAAGTCTCGGTTGAATCGTGTGGAAATGTGGTTGGAGGAATGGAATAGAGATATGGAGTCGAGGGCAAAGGAACCAGGAACAGCTCCAAAGATCGTGAGCTTGAGGAGAACGGGATATATGAATGTAAGTTTTTTCCAAGTAGATGTCTTTTGACTTGCCTATATGTAAGAAGGAAACGTCTTTACTAATGTATATCAAACAGCTTGATATCCAAGTCCCAGATCCGGAAATTTCATATCCCGCCACAATACCCGAATCAGAACGTTTAGATTCGGGAATATCGCAAAATACACATGTCACGGGAACCCCACCAGAACATGAGTTACTAGCTACAATACCTAGTAGAAGTCAGAAGAGTGACCATATGGGAACCGTTTCTTAGGTGGTGGTGTGCATTAAGGCTGTAACATATAAGGAGAAGAAGAAAAATCAAGGGTGGAGAGTGGAGGACGAGGAGAGAAGCAATTTATACCCTCTTTTTTCATTTTTACACAGGCGTTTTAGGAGAAAGAGAACAAGAGGATATTTTGTAGAGGGGACAGAAAGAAAGAAAGGGAGGAGGGAAAGAAATGGCAGACCAGTTGATTCGTTTGAAGTTGGAG